GGGAAACCAACTACGCAATAGCGACTTCAACACCTATGTGCTGTTGGAATCACATGTATTTAACCCTCGATCGTTTGCGTTGCATGCATCCTGGTAATGACATTGATCACCAGATAAATTATTGTTCTTAAGAAAGAGGTCTGACAGACTCTGAGGTATCTATAGTTTGATTAAGAGATAAAGTAAGTAGAGATTTATTCTGCTCCACCTGCACCATGTACACCCGTGTCGGGCGTTCTGCTATACTTCTCGTCGCATTTGCCTCGCCTACTATAAAAAACAGCAGGTACTTGCTTCTGATCACTGTGTCACTTAGTGTCTTCCTCCTGTGTTGCTGGGTTGTTTTTTTTAGCTGGATTTCACCTATGGCGTCGAACTGGCCTCATCACTTAGCATCTGGTGATAACCAGCTCGGATCATCCGCCATCGTAAGTACACAGAGCTCAGTAAGACCACCAGCCCACCCAGCGCTACCTGTTCCACACAGATATAAAAGAAAAGAGATTGAATTGTCAGACTAATTCTCTCCCACCTCAAGCGCAGCTGCTCTCCGAAATATCCATCCCCCTAAAGTCTGTCATTCTTAATTCTGTGCAGCAGTGCTGCTGAAACCAAAGCAAGGTGGAGAGAACTTCCTCTTTCCCCCATCCACACATGTTGCACACACCTCCCTCTGACACATTTCCTGCGCAAGCATTGTTCGCAGTTCACCGACTGCATTCCACTGTCACCCAGGAGCTGACGAGTTGGATAACGAACAGCTTCCAGTAACGTTGCATGCTGTGTGTCAATCAGCTGGTTCATTTTCGGGCAGCACCCGTAGTCTCTGAGGTTCAATCTTGTGTCTCTTCCCGGTCCTGCCAGCTTCAAATGAGTCTGCCAATGTCATTTGATATAATGAAGCCGCATTTGTGGTGTTGTGTGTGTGTTGTGTTGTGGTGTGTGTGTGTGTGTGTGTGTGTGTTGTGTGTGCAGTAAGAAGGAACAGCCCAACTCCCTCCCAACTGTATCCTGAGGTTATTATAGTTCAACTGTTTGCGAAGCAGGTCGAATTTCCTCACCGTAGGGAAGGCAGACCTCTGTGGCAGCACAAATATGAACGCAGAATATTAGCATTCACAGTACGTGCTCGACTGTTAAAAATCCTCACACATGAGCCACCTTTCACTGGTGTGTTGTGTCGTGTGTGTGCTGTGTTTGTTGTCGTGTGTGTGTGTGTGTGTGTGGCTTCAGGGCACTATTCTCAGTAGTGAGACCATCCCTCATCTGATGGACCTACTACAAGCTCCCAAGCTACTAATCATCCACCCCTCCATTTCCAGCCTCTATTGTAGCAGAGCCTGACCTCTGACCTCTCTCAATACAGCTATCCTAATATCAATAATATTGCTGTGTATGTTTCTCTATGTCAGTCTTGTGTTACTGTTTTTAGGTCTTCATGGAGGTTTTTTTACACTATTTTAGTTTTAGTAGAACACAGAATAACACAGCTCTTCACTAGTGATAATACAACATGTAAAATTAAACCATATAAAGTGTATGTGATACAATATAATTATACACAAGAAGGGTTTTAACTGAAAATACATACAGAAATATTAAAGTATATAAATAAGACAATATTTTAATTAAAAGAGAGAAGGAAGAAGAGAGTGAAAAAGGTGGATGTCAGTAACCCCTGTTAATTAGGAAGTTGGTGGTCTTGTAGATGGTCAGCAAGTATTTTGTCCTCAAGATACGTAAGAGGTTAAACAGATCAATAGTAAAGTAATCTATAAAAGGTTTTATTCACCAAAAACTGCTATTAAAGAGTCTAAACTATAGACTAATAGACTATTTATAGTCTGATAATGCATTGTTTTCAGTTTTACAGTATTCTTTTCTTTCCCCGCGTTTAGCTTGTGACCCTGCGAGGCTCCATTTTAGAGGATGCGGTGGCGTCTACAGGGAGGCACGGCACAGTGCGGGGTCTGCCGCTCAAGGAGGTCCTGGAGCAGGTCGTCCCCGAGCTCAACGTCTCCTGTCTGAGACTGGCGCTCAGCACACCGAAAGTCACAGAGCAGCTCCTCAAACTGGACGAACAGGGGGTGAGTTATGTGACTGTCTGTATTTGCATTTTATTTTTGGGCTCGTGTAATGAAACAGTTGTGACCCAATCAGCAACAATGCCCCCATTGAAATTGTTCCTTGGCAAAATAGATGAAGTCAGGCTGGCTAAAATGTGAACTGATAAAGCAACATGGTGACACATGGTATGCTCAGATTGCGTGTATCAAAGTGTTCGCCACCGTTATAACTGATTTAATGTTGGTGCAAAGTACAGAATTAGACTGAGGGCTGGGAAAGTTGAGTGAAACAGGGTGTGGTGTGTTTGAGTATTGAGTGTGTAACTATAAAAGCTTTAATGTTTAGCCATGTTATCTCACCTTTAATTTAATGGAGGGTGAAGTGCAAGGCGGAAGTGTTTTCCCATCCGTGGGCTTGTTTTCGTCTGTAGGTGGTTTATACAACAGCGAAGTTGTGCGTGTTGAAGTGCATCCAGATATACGCTCTCATCTGTAACATGTACTTTGACATTAAGTTGCATTATAAGCACACAATTCAGAGTGTTTCAGCTGTGTTTGAATGTTGTGTTTCAGCGTGTGTGTTTGTAATGTCCTCTCTCCGCTGCTTTGTAGTTAAGTCAGAAGCACAAGGTGGGTGTTCTGCTGTGCCGTGCGGGCCAGAGTACAGAGGAGGAGATGTACAACAATGAGGAGGCGTCACCCGCCTTCTCTGCCTTCCTGGAGCTGCTGGGGGAGCAGGTGCTTCTCAAAGGATTCACCAAATACGCCGCACAGCTTGACGTAAAGAGTGAGTCTTTCAGTTAGGCAGTATATTCCATAAATGTGTCTTTATTTCACATAAAAATCGAGACAGAAATTGTATTACGTCCAACCTAGTAACATTTTCTTGGTACTTTCACCATGGCACATGTCCAGATTGTCATATTAACATAAAGGTCTGCAGCAGTGAAAGGTTAAACATGTACTTCTTGTCCTCCATGTTAAGTTCACTGTAATAAAACTTAATTAGCAGCTCATATGCTTAGAGAGAAAAGGTTTAATAAATTATGAAACGGTGTGAATGAGCCCATTTCTCTCTTTCTTTATGCAGTTAGCATTATGAATATACAGCAGTATGCTTAAGATAAATCATGTGAGCAAACAGAAACTAACAGAGAGTCCCAACCAAATGCTTGTACACTGTTGGATGGTATAAAATAGGCAAAGTAGCCTTTTAACAGATAGCAGAATTATCTATCAATGAGGAAATTGATCAAGAAACTTCAAACCTTCCTTAGTGGTCCTTTAATGTCTGAAGAAAGTCACGAGGAACGTTTACGTAAAAGTAGGGCTGCACAATTAATCAAAATATTATCGAAATATTATCAAAACCCCA